TATGTATACACACATATGTGTTTTCATACTTACAGTCTTTGTATGTGTGAATGTAGATATTTAGTATGTGTGTGTGTGTCTTGTTATTGCAGTCCTCTTCGTATCTACAACATACCGCGTGTGTAGCAGGAACCGCCTCCGGCTGCAAAGCCTTGCTCCGCGAAATCCGCCTGTCCATCGCACTCTCCTCAATGCGGATCCGCTCCTGCGCGCAGTCATGTCGAAGTTGCATGCACTCATGCTGGGATCCATTCTTCACCCAGGGACAATGCCGAGGCGGCCCTCGTCGGGCCTGCCGGAGCACCCTCCTGGCACCGTTTGTGATCTAAGTTCAAGCACAAAGAATGCAATCGGTGCCAAATGCACTCCTCATCCGAGGAGGTATCAAACCCAGGATCCTCCTGCAACACATGTACACTTTTGTGAACGAAATGTAGAACATGCCACTCATTCTTAAGACCATACACTCCATCTTGGAACACGTGGACGGCAGCCGAACGACAGGCCACTTGTCCTGCATTGTATGCGCAAACATATGATAAAGACATGGACTGCCACTCTACCACTGGAACTCAGACTGAAGGTGCATGCGCTCCGGATCCATGGACGGGCTCCGAGTCTTCCGCTGTCGCTCCTCCTGGATTTTCCACTGCATTATATGTGCAACTATGTGATCCAAAAAAGACAATGGCCACCGACTGCCTCGCCTCTTCGTCTGCTTCGGCTGCCTCGTACGATGCTCGGAGCAGCTCCTCTACATCCTGTTGGCTGAATGTGTATTCATCACACTTAACACATGAACACAAAACTGCGCTCAAGCATCCTTCACAGGAGGCTCTGGGTCGCCGCGAACTTCATCGAAGTCATCCTCGCTCGAACTGTCCTGAATGTGTGTATTTATCACACGTAGCACATGAACACAACATGCAAACGAGAGAACACAGGACTGCACTCAAGTATCCTTCTTCACAGGAGGCTCTGGGTCGCGCGACCAAACACTTCATCGAAGTCGTCCTCGTCCGAACTGTCCTGAATGTGTGTATTTATCACACGTAGCACATGAACACAACATGCAAACGAGAGAACACAGGACTGCACTCAAGCATCCTTCTTCGCAGGAGGCTCTGGGTCACTGTGACCAAACACTTCATCGAAGTCATCCACGTCCGAACTGTCCTCGGAATGCGTAAATGTGTCTTCATCACATGTAACACGTGTACAGAATATGCAAACGAGTGAACAGAAGACTGCACTCAAGCATCATTCTTCACAGGAGGCTCTGCGTCACTGTGACCGAAGACATCATCGAAGTCATCCTCAGAGCTTACACATACAATTTTTTTGAGTCCCGTGTTGTCGTAAGCAGCAATATTAATCATGCAATCTAGTGGCTGAGTCGGGGAGCGGGTCATTCTCGCCCGCACTGAACCGTACCGTCGCCTCAACACTCGTAACCGTCGGGGTTTATGCGGTTATTTTAGGGTTTGGGCATTGAGCGGTTCAAGGTATACAGGGTTATATTTGGGAGTCTGGAAGTTATATTTATTTACGAACCACGGCTTAGGGCGCACATAGGGTTTGGGGGGTTTAAGTTTTATGTAGGCTCGCAGGTATCAAAAGTTTCTTGATTTGGTGCAGTGGCCCCCTTAATTCCAAGTTAGTTCATTACGGTTGCCTAAGTCTGTGCTAGACTCTGGTGGCAACTGGAGAATATACAGGGTAGATCCTCGAGTCTGTAGGGTTTAGTTTTGAGAATAGGGTATGGGTGTTTAGCGGAGTTTAAGATTTACGTACTGTTTTCAACTGTTGAACCACTCAAACATGCCATCAAAATTTGCTACTGAAAAGTAACCCTGTCGCCTGGGATCGCACATCCTCCTCGCTGGGGCTGGACCCGTCACCTGAAGGCCGTGGCACATCCTCCGGGCCGGCAAAGGCATCCTCGGCACGTTCATCCTCCGATTCCGAGCCTTCACCCACAGTCGCCCGCTCATCTTCATCGCCCCAAAACTTTCCAGAGCAATCTGGCTCGCCTGACGACTCCTCTCCGTCTGCGGTCGGCTCCGGCTGTGGTTCGGCTGCCGGCTTTCTGGCTCTCGAACTGTTGACTCTCATGAAACTCTTGAGGGTCTGCAGCTGCGAGTCCCGGGAGTACGGGGAGCTGGACCACAGCCTAGGCTCGATCGCAAACCGCTGCATGCACCTGCAACCTAGGATTGATCATGAGTGCTGCAAACCTGATCAATGCCTGCATGCATATAGGATGCTTTCGCAAAGTCGACCATACCTTCTGCATCTTCAGGACTCCGATCTTCATCGCATTATCCGTCCAAGCAGATCCAATCGAGGCTTTCTCCACGAAAGGCTCCAAGATGATGGTGGCCTCTTCCATGCTGGGTGGACGGACCTGGAACGGAGGGTAGCGAAGCACATTGATAAAGATCCAAAAATTGGATATCCTCAGTTGCAAGAATGAATGCATGCATGCCACCTATATCTAAAGCGCTATGCGTGCATTGGTTCCTTGCAATCGTGGCACACATCATCTGCAGACATATCTTCGTAGTTGCCTGCAACGATGTCTGTGAGCGGATCGCCACGAGCTGCCGCGGCCTCCATCCGCTCCTGCGCATGCATATTTAGCTGCAGCGGGGCGCACTGCAAAACAATGACTGCATGCAATTTGATCGATCCTTGACAGCTTGCGGCAGCGACATTTGCATCACCATCCCGATGGCTCGCAGTTCAATCACTGCTCGCTCTGCATCGGTGTTCGCCATGGCACCGAAAAAACTTCAAAGCACGAACCGAAAATAGCTGGTCAGAAATACTGTCACACTGCCTTGTTCGAAAGAGAGGAGCACAAACTGCCAAACTCGAACTTTACGAAGTAACCTGACAACACTGCCTCGATCTGCCAAGCGCGCATGCATCTTCGACATCGGACTCATCAATGCAAGCCGAGTTTCCCCTCCCGAACGACGGGGACGCTTTCGTCCCCCTCGATAGAAGCAGGGGATCTGCCGGTGGTGCCCCTGATCAATGCATGCATGCACCGCACAGAACGAATGCCTTGTCACAAGATCTGTGGGACTCTGCATCTGCCACGCAGCCTCGATATCCAGACCCAGCTGGAGCACACCGGCGCAAACCACGCTAATCCTCCCTGCATGCACACAGATTCGAAGCCGCAATGAGCACATGTATCTCAACTGCCATAAATCCATCCAAATGCTGCAAAGCCGCACGACTGTACAATCGAAGGCAAAGCGAGATGCACAAGGCAAAACCCAGGCCGCTGAGGAAATCTTGCTCGGGTCCATCCGATATCTCAAAGGTCGCGGCATCATAGCCATGTTGCCTTAGATATATCAAAGGATCTGTGCATTCATAAGCCGCACACATTCATTCAACTGTCAAGTCAGTTTCGATGCCTAAAGCCGTTGGCCACAGTCTTGACACCGGCAAAAACTTCCAAGCAGTCCAGCTCCTGGGTAAAGCAAACGAACTGTCTAGAATTTATGTGCGGTCTACATACTTTGCAGCACAGAGCTGTAAGGTTCTGATCCCAGAGGCCACATGGGGCAGGGTCATGTTTCCCATGACAAGGGTGAGCAGGGAGAGCAGGCTGTGAGGCATGCCAGCGTTTATCAGGAGGTGCAACCTGGAGCACGTCCAAGGAAAGGAGGACACTGCAAGCTCTCATTATGCAACTCGAAGCTGTATGCCGTCAGGGAGCAGACTCCTGAAACGCGCTGGCAGGCAACCCGTCTCGAAAAGAGCCAGAGGTCGCTCCGGCTCCGGTTCCGGAGCCTCACGTCGTCGCTTCCCATGTTTCCTCCGAATTTCGAACCCTTGCACCTGCATCTTGGGCATCTTGGGGAAAACTTGTGGCTTGAGCAAGAGCCTTGTCGGTTGCAGTCACAATCGATCTGAAGCCAGCACATATTCTGCAGAAGAATCGCACACTGCACACAGCTTCACATGAGCACATGAAACACTTGCAGGGGCGAGTTGGTGGCACCTCTCTTCCATGTGCTGAAGCATGGCCATTCGAGCAGCCATCTTTGACGGCTGCTGACCCGCGGGTCTGCAGCAGGTTGCTCCCACCAAGACATTGGGCCGGGCATGCACTTTCACAAGTGAGGAAGCTACAGTACTGAACTCGTGTCAACGATGCCTTGGGGAAAAACATCCATGCATCTATACTCTATACTGACTGGAACTCATGGGCACTGAGGCAGAAGCATCTTGAGTGTCTCTGCCCTAAATTTAAGCCGACATGCAGCTCCCATGCCAAGTGCCAGCATATTGCTTTGATGGAAAGCATGCCAGACGACATGCAGATCTCGGCGAGTCCTGGCTTAGAGGAGGAGGTTGTGGGTCGTTTCCTCATATATTGGTTCGTATGATTATCGGCTACCAGGTTTCGAAGGATTAGGGCTTAGGGTGCCGGGTTCATGGGTCCTAGATATGGGAGTCTAGGACCCATGAATCCAGCTTTTTTTTTTACACTCACAGGTCGCCGAACACATGTCCAAACTTCCGGGACATGCGAAACAAAAGCAAAGCAAGCCGTGCACAACCGGGGAAACCGTAAATTATCGGGTCAACTTTGGATTGAATCCTGCTCGACCTTTGGCAGAGACTGCATCGTCTTCCATCCAACAGCACACCTGCTGCACCAACACCATCCCGGCAGTGGCTTTTGCCGTTGAACTTGAATCGAATTGAACCCTAAAGGTCGTACAAAATGGAGAAACGACCGACGTACTAATAACCCCGCGCGAAGGACTTACGCTGCATGTTGGGGCCCGCGAGGATCATGGTTGTGCGCGAGAATGCTCCAAGCGCGCGAGAGACGTAAAATTAAGCGTTCGGGCTGAGCAGGTTCTCATGAAACTCAGACAATCAATTCAGGATGGTGTTAAAGCTGTTAATATGCAAGATGTTTGCATTTCCGCCTTTCATACAGTCACTGCACGAAGATCTGACCTGGCTCAGTTGTGCATGTCACGGGCTGCTTGCTCATCAGGATCGTCATCGCAAGCCGTTGCCGGAGGTTCCATCGTCGAGGATGCCATGCCCCCCGCAATGTGGGTGGGTGTCTCCAAATTCTCCCCGATCTCGGAGGTCATGGAAGTCTTGCTGGTGAGGCGACGCTTTGGAGGAGGATATTGGAACTGGCCCATTCGCCCAGGAGGATTGACGCAAGCCACGGGCAGAGCTTCTGGGAAAGGAACTGGGACTGCGGTCTCCTCGTCGGTGGATGGCGAAGCAGGAAGATGCACTGCAGTGGATGCGCGAGTCAAAGAGCCGATCTTGTCCGCAATCTTTTGATTGATTTCGGCCATGTAAGTTTCTGGACGACCGGCCGTCTGCATAGACTCTATGCCCTGAAGCAGGAGTTCCTGCTCCTTGGCAATGTCTGCCTCGAATGTAGGAGGCGGCTCATGGATGCCAACTTTGTACTTGGCGTAGAAGTCCTTGTCTCGCGGTGTGAACAGATCTTCGTGCAGGTCATCTACTCGAATTCAGTGGATAAGGGCGTTGCGATCCTGGGAAGGCAGACGAAGATAGGTTGCACGCTTGCCGAAGATGAACATGATGCAACGTTTCAAAACAGCCATCATGTCGGCCTCCTTGTAGCCTACGAAGAATTTCTTGACGAGATTGAAGAACTCTTTTGGCTCCATGGAGGTATGGTGTTTGTCCGGGAGTGGTTCGTCTTCAGGTACAAAGTCGTTTGCAGCTAAGGCCCGAAGGCCGTTGGCGACGAGCTTCACATCCGTGTACCGACCCGAACAGTTCTGATCTTCTTCAGAAGTTAGCCACGATTTGACATCCGCGGGCTCCATTTTGTCCATGTTGAGATCATCTAGTATCAAGCCCTCGTGGATCTGTGCATTGCGATGCCTGAAGTTATCCATGGCCTTGGCCCTCCTCCACCCAGGAGAAACTCCCTCGAGTTCCAGGCGATTGATGTGATACCTGCCGATGGCCAGAGCGAGAATGATGAGCAGAGGAGTCTTCCCAACTCCCGGCCATCCGATGGTCACAATTCCGAAGCTAGTCCGTAAGGGTGCAAACAAGGGGAAAACTCTCCCATGAATGGCTTCATACTCTTGGTGGTCATTGGGAAGAAGCGGCGCGAAGATGCTCCTACATTCGCACGACTTTTATCCTGAGCAATCCGGATGATCTTGCCCTCCGGCCAGCCCGCAATTGGCGAGCCACTGTCCGCCTTGATGTTCGTCAAGATCCACAGGTATTGCTGGTTCTCCGAATCGTCTTCTGGGGCATTCTTGTTCACGAAGTCAACGCCTTTGACAAGCTCGTCATCGGAAGCGGTCCATGCTGTGGATTGGGCACGCTT